CAATTTTATCTATAAACATTTATTGTTATATTCCGAATCAAACTGATATATTTTGAAAGAGCATTATGATGGAATACTTCAACTTGTTTGTTTTATTTCCGAAAATTATCATAAAAAACAATAACACAATATAACAAAATCAAAGACTTATATAACAATGATAGAATGATAAAACGGTTGGATAGTCCATTTCAGAGCCATTAACCTAATGGCTCTGTTCTTCCATGGAGTCCAAGATCTTCTGATCTTCTATTTCGAATCTCTCGAGGGAGAGCATTACAGACCGAAATCCCTGCATGAGCAACGGTTTTCACCCCCAACTTAGTATTGAACTTAGAAAGAACAAGTACTTCAGACATTTCTTTTCATTCTGAATTATTTACTTCAAAATTATGATTTAATATGTAATGTCTGGTAATGGAGAATAGTACAGAGAGAGAGATATTTATAATTCGTAGCCCTATTATGATCATTAATCTCGTTGTCACTACAGTGTTTTGTCGTGTAGAGATACTTAAATCTTGTTCGTAATGATATTGTCTGCATTATTATCAATGTAAATTAGTCGGCAACTCTAATTATCCTGTATACTATCCAGAATGGCATTATCTAAAGATAATTAGCTAAAAGTACCTCATTAATCTTTCCAGCCATCAACCAGCAGTGATCTCGACTATCATTAAATGAAAAACAAAAAACGAATTTAATGATAGATCTCAACAGCAGATCTGAAAAGATTTAATCTCGCACTGAATGGGTTTTTGAAGGATAATCTGCATCTTTATTAAGGATGAAATATATGCTGACAGGAATGTAGGAAGAAAAAAAAAGGTAACATAATTTGAAAGCTCTCCACGCCATCTTTGATATTGTAGCATTAGTCAGAGGCAGATACAATGGCTGTATATGATTAAGAAGACATACACTGACTGTTTCATATCTTGTCTGGTATGAAGCTTTACTTATTTTGGAATTCTGCGGCTCACCATCATCTCGTTATTATACATTATTATGATCATCCAGCTCCATTACCAAACCCATTTGGGTGAAATGTAATACCTCTACATTTCTTTTAAAGTCTGTTGCAGATGTTGCATGATTCGTTTTGAAAGCCAATACTGATTAAATCAAATAACTTTGCGAAAATACAACCCATATTCCTAATATTGTTTCAAATTTGCATTTCATGAAGAAAACAATTGGAATATACATCTCACATCCTTATACCTAATGAGAACATTCCCCCCAAATATCAGAAAAAAGAGGTAAAGTGCGAGAATTAATGACAACGTCATGATTATATGATTTGATATCATGAATAGAAATCTCAACAGTAGACTACCTTTTTTCCCTTAGCTTCAGGCACTTAAAATGATTGAAAACCTTGCTTGGGATACAACATGTCAATGAGTATCATTTTTTTTAAATCGCTGTATTCAATTTTGTAAAACGTGATACAAGATAACTAATTTCTTGTTGTCAAGTTCGTTTCGTGAGATGAAATTCTAATACCGGGCGACAGATGGAGAAGGAATTTCTATGACCACATGATATCAATGTTAGGTCCATAATATCACTGTTTATTTTGTTCATCTTTCAGGGACTTCCCTTGTCCTACACGTATAAGCGTGACTGATCACTGCGGAGTCAACGTAACGTCATCCTTGTGTTGTTTTATTGATTGGTCTGTTACGAACCTGACTCTCTACAGCCATCTGGCCATGCTAACAAACGGGGTTAAGATCAATATCGCAATCTGCACACTAAACATGCAGACAATACACTTGAAATATAGTTTCGTCCTTGCTTTAGGAGGCGGCCAGTTTGGAATCAATAGCTAAAGCCAGGGCACAACTGGATCCATCAAAATTACATTAATCGTTGTTTTTATTACATTACTGTATTTTCTGAAAGAAAGGAGACATCTTTTCATTACATAAAAGTTTACATGCATGACCTCACTTGCGAAAGGTTATACTCCAGAAGACATGACCGATCATAATCATATTCCTGGTACACCACAGCACTTCATAACCAATGTAACAACCACGCTTCTGTTCAGCGCCAAACCACAAAATTAAACCTACCTCTTAGCAAGAGACGCAAATGCAAACAAATTGTATATGTGTATCATCTATGTGAAATCGCTAATTCAAATATATTAGCTGTTTATACACACGGTTTCATATAACTCTAATATCACAAACGTTAATAGAATAATTGTTTTGAACTTTGAACAGAGCTTCTTGCCTTTTTGTAAATATTAAGTTATATAATTCTTTTGATTTAGTGTAAAATACCAAAGCTTTGTATTTAATCACAGAACACATTTTAGCCTAGATGTAGAATAGCTTATAGCTTAAGTATTTATTCAATAGTTATTCATACTATTACCTTCTCATTCGTACCAGACACTATTAACATTTAATGCTATTTTCTGGCCCCATTTATCTTTCCAATGTTAAACATTCACATTTCATTGTTATATTGATGTCATTTTTGTTTGGATAATAAAATTCAAACTTCACTTCATTTCATTAAAAGCTAAATAACATTTATACCAATACAAGGTACCAGTATACACGTGGCGCCTTACATTGGGCGCCAGTACGCCACTTGAATACATATTGCAGGAGTACAATATATTAAGTTCTACACCTGTTTCCCATTACGTATTGTTTAAGTGTGCACGTGCGTATAGGGTTCAATGCACTGGGACCTCCACTTATCCTTCTTCAAGATAATACTACCTTAACCGAATTTTCAATAGTTCCTGGAATCGGAGCATGATATCCATCATCCACATAACAGTGAAGTTAACACAACTATCGCGTAAGAAATGTCGCATGCATTCTCTTTCCGCACTTGTGTTTCTTATGTTTCTTAATACCCCCAATTTAAAATGCTGAGAGATTTTCAGTGACTCCTTTGAGAGAAATGTCACCTAATATAAATCAGGGTTAGTTAAACAAAAAAAGGCCTCGCCCCACTATGGTGTGATTAGGTGCTCAGTGGAGATACATTTAACGATGAAGCAAATTAAATAGGTATAATAATGTAACCTGCCGTGACAGTTAATGATGGGGCCAATTTTCGTAGTTCTTAAGGGACAATTTTATAGGGAGTAATTATCATGGGCCTCCATGGTGCATTGACGCTGAGTGATTGAATGGTACGCATGGCAGGAAAGGAAACTGATTAGAATGCGTGTCACATTTACAGCTTACCCGCATCTTCCGAAGATGCAAGAGGTCATTTACTTTAAACTGCCACGTGATCGGTCAAATCGAGCTCCGTACCTCACGTGCAAAGAGACTCTAGAGAGGCCGTTCGTTATTATCTCCATAATCAGTATAACACATAGTCTAATTAGAAATAAAGATAGGATGGATAGCCTATTTCAGAAGTATGAACAACATACAGCTGTTTTCCCATCGGGGTATTTTATAGGGCACAGTGTTACATAACATGTACAGTATACACCTGTACAAACAACATAGTAGAGAGCTTGTAAGGTAAAAACAACGGTATAAGGGAGACCATCTTGACGTGGTATCCATTTAGATGGGGCCTATTGCCCTTTCTTTAATGAGCTCTGAATTCCGGACAGAAAAAAAAATATTGATCTGACTTCCAAACTTACTCGCTATATCGATATTGAAAAATGTGTCCTCATTCTTGTTACAATTATCTCCAAATAAAATATGATCATGATGATTTTCATTTCCATAGAAGAACTTTAGATAGGGTTTAGCTTATGTTGAAGCTCATAGGTGAACAAAACTGTGAAGAAAATTCAAAAGATGATGTTCTTTTCCTAATTAGACAAAATAATAAGGCATGTCTTATTCGAATTATTTCTCCACATCATTCCGTTGTATCGAACCAATAGGATTTAATTGGCTCTGATTTGGTATGAAAATAGTTCTGTCATGAGCATCAGATATTTGAGTGACAATGGTTAATGAAGAATGCTATATAAACTAGGAGAACTAGCTCTTTATCATGTTCATCTCGCATTGCCATTACTGCTACACTGGGCGCTACAGTGTGCGTGAGTTTTCAAGGATTTTCTATAATTTGACAATTATTCTGCTTTTTATATTCCTCATATAAGAGAGAACAAATTGAAAAATGTACACAATGGTACATAAAGTTAGTATCTTAATTTGTATCTATATCGACTTCTTGGAAAAAAATCATTAGTCATAGCAGAAAAAAGAAGAAGAAGCTACGGGTAATAATAAAGGAATTCACTCTCAAAATGTACCATTATTACTGTATGCTGGCGTCATTTTGTCTATCCTTAATATATTTTATGTCCTTGTTTTCGTGTGAGAGTGTATCGTTATCCCTTACAAAGAAACCGGAACTGTAGCGTCTCATTTCACAAATGGATATAAAAACGGGTTGGAAGTGGCCAATAAAGTTTCAGGAATACTAATTTATTTGGAGTGAAAGGCCTGGGGCGTTTCAGCTCATCACCATCCAGTTGGGAATATGGTCTTATTTTTTCCATGCATCACACTTCCAAGTAAATTAGTTTTTTTTTCCAAGTCTTTTGAGGCTTCAAATTCATTCGCAATTTATAGCAGCCTGCATGTTTTGGGTCACTAGTTTTCAATTTATCACTCCTCCCATAATCATCGCTTTACATTTGTTTTAATCGTAAAAAGAATGAGTTCCACAATTAGAGTTTGTATGTATACACACTGTTATACAGAAACATAAGTGTTGTATTAATCACTCACTGGAGCAAAGTTTATGACAATCTCAGCAAATGGTACTCCCACCTTTCTTTGACAATTTTGTTTGTTTTGTTTTTTACGGTAAATGATTACTCTATACCAATACATAATACACGATATAATCAATTTAATTAGATCACTGATATCTACACCTAGTCACCTTTAAAAAAGAACTTCGATTTTCGCGTGAGATTTAAATAGGTGTTGTATTTATTTATTTGTTTGTCTATTTATTTGTTTTCTTGTTTTCAGCAATATAGCAACGAACAGAACATTGAGATCGTACCTGTTGATGGAGTGGAGCTGGTTCGTGATATGGCTCACCAGATGGAGACAATGTTACAGGACAAGGCTAAAGCTGTCGAGGTATGTATGCACGTATGACTTGATGGGTGACGTCACTCTCGAAATGTACAGGAGTGAAAATTCATTCTTGTGGGATTAATATTAGGGATCACTTTGTATGGATTTGAAATCCACGCTAAAATAGTGAAAATCCACTCCCAAAAGAGTTGTTCAACCACAACAGTTTCAACGCCAAAGGGAGTGATCCCTGATGACTCCGAAGAAAGCAGATTTTCACTTCTCTGCTTTAAGAGAGCATGACTCTATACATTAGACAGCATTTATTTATTTAAAATAATGTGTTTTAATAATATAACTAACTATACAACTTGTTCGAATCTATCAAGTGGCAGCCCGTTAATGGGATGAATGAAGGAAGATTTTTCAACACACTATACATTAATGTTTTCTTTTTGTAGTATATCTTACCATCAATAATAATAATAATAATAATAATAATAATAAAAATAATAATTGTGATTTATATAGCGCATAATAATCATCTAAGACAATCATTATATCTACCCCTTGAAATTCTCAACTCTGACATGACAACGGGTGTTCCAGAATATGTAGGCGTGAAGAAAATGGTCTAGGAACGTGAGACGTAGCTGTACTTAACAAGTTTATTACGAGCTTTCGGCTTGTGAGGCCTTCTTCAGGTTCTTGCTTGTGTGTTGGGCTGTCGGTGTGTTTTTTCAGTCGATGTGATATATGTGAACGTATATATGTGTATATAAATATATATACATATTTTACTAAAGGCGTCATAAGTGGGACATTTGGAGTGAAAAAAATGAGTCATTATGTAGACATTGTCATTAGGAGGACAATTTGGTGTCCTCTTAACGTTGTTTACGTTTTATTTCTCATGGAAGGCCCAATTTTGTTATATATCTCTCTCTATATAATTTGACTAAAGGCGTCAATGGAAGGACATTGGGAGTGAAAAAATGAGTCATTAAGTAGACATTAGGGTTAGGGTTAGGGTTAGGGTAAGGTTTAGGTTTAGGGTTAGGGTTAGGTTTAGGGTTAGGTTTAGGGTTAGGTTTTAGGGTTAGGGTTATGGTTAGGGTTAGGGTTAGGATTTTTATGATGTCCACTTAATTTACCATGTAGGGTTACCATATATATATTTACAATATATATATATATATATATATGCATATATATATATATATATATATATATATATATATATATATATATATGGAGAATGGAAGGTATTGGTGTGCCAATGTAACCTTTACTGAGCCTGGAGGATCACAGCTAATAGAATCTATAGCTGAGAACAGATTCCGAAAATTGAAGGACAGAGAATCAGATACCGCAAACTACATTTGACGACCATGTCTAATGATGCTAATTGTTTTTGCATTACGCTTAGTCGATCGGCCAGAAACCAAAAAGAATTAGCGCGACACTTAGGTAGACACACACCATGCCATTACAATATTGCACATTAAAAAAATTAGCCTCGTGGACCACAGTTCTGGGGAAGTATTTGCGGGAAAGGAATGAAGGTTTAAAAGGTGAAAACGATTATGGTGTACAGTCAATTTCAAGATTGATTTCTGATGATATCAAGCTTGTGTGATTATCATTGTTAAAAGGCTACATGAATAATTGACCAAGCTATTTTTAGGTGTGGTAAAAGCATTATGATTGGCCTTTTAAAGGCGATTTTTTAATATTTTTTTATAGGTAATAACTGCAATGTTTCCCATTAAGTTTTAATGAATTTTTTGTTTAAATACATCTTTTCATGAAGTGACTAGGAGGATGAAATTTAGTGTTGGTATGTGACATTTATACCTCCTCATAAGTTTATTGATTAATCTCATAAGTCATGGATACCATGGAGACTGATCAATACAGTTCTAAGAAGATATAAACTTTTACATGACCAAGAATGATCCATATTTCCACAGTCATTTCAAGAGAAGATTTTTTTTTTTGTTTTGTAAAATGAATTTATTGATAAATATATGCATTTGAACACATCAAACAATCATACACAATCGATTGAAATAACACCGTAGCATCTTAACATAGTTCAACTAAAACATGTTTCGTTTTCTTAAATAACAGTGTTTTCAAAAATGCATAGCTTTTTTGTTTTACAGTACTTTTCGATCTTTAATCGGTTGTGGATTTATCTTTTGAAAATACAAAGAATAGAGACTTCATGTAACATGATGCGATTTTTTGCTTGCATCAATGTTAAATAAACTGCGCATTTTGCATATATTTTAAAGGCGATTTGATTTTACCACAAAAGCCAAATATTAGTAATGGACATGAGATTGATAAGTAATTCATAAGTTTTCGAGTGAATGAATACAAAAATCAAGATACATCACCAAATCAGATGAACCTCAGTAACAGTGAATACCAACATTCTTATAAATGAGAAAGGAAACGGCGAAAAACTTAATAAATAGATCAGAAGTATACGATATCGATATGCAATTGAACAATAATTGCTGTGATTCCTAATTACATCAATTAAGACAACTCTTAATTTAAAGCCTCGAAATTACACCAATGTAAGTTTTTTTAATTGACGTCTTAATGAATTAAATTATTAATTACACGATGGAGAGATACTCGTAACGCGATAAAACGAGAGTTTAAAATCGACATCGAGCGAAGGTAATAAGTATAATTAGTATTAAATCCCTAACATTATCCCCTTCAAAGTAACAGTTGATTAGCATTTTCTCGGGCTTGCAAAAAAAAAATCACCCCACCGTATTGGAAGAGAAGGTTGAATTCTAGGAAGAGGTGAAAAATAATTTGTGAGCGTTATCATTGTTATAAGGCAAGTTTGGAAGAACACCAGATAAAAATGTTACCTGAAAAGCATGGCTCTACAAATGCCTTAATATTCGAAATATGGCATGTAACAGCATACAATTGGGAAGGATTTTTATGCCACAAAAGTCATGTTCGTGTAGTCCCATATACATATTTCTGTGTACTGTAACTTTACCAAGACTGTGCCAAATTTCTTATCACTTTGATGATTCCAGAACCTTGCAGTACACACTCAAACTTATAAGCTAATTGATCAAACTTTTCTGATCGATTCCACACCGTTTCTTTCAAAATGCAATCGCATGACCCGCACAGCATCGTCAAGGGCGGGGTTCGCAATGTTTTTTGAAAGCTTTAATTAGTACCTAATGACTCAGTGTAGAAGTGTTGTGGTCCAGTGGATAAGTCTCCGGGTTCGAACCCGTGTCGTAGCATTAAATGTATTTTGACTAGACTAATCTACATTTGCCACACTACCCCCCAAGCGAGGTAAATGGGTACCCGGTAGGAATGGATTCCTTAAAATGTTTGAGCGATGTAATGGCAGCTGTGCTAAAGCCGGAGTAATACGAATGGAGCGCCATGACTGGCATTGTGCGAGACATGAGCGCTACACAAGACTCCGATATTATTGTTATCATTTGTATTGAGCATCCAGTGGGGATGACGTCTTCGCATCTATGACAGTTAGCGAATGGAGGATTAATGTTGGTTAGATTTTAACCAAATATTCAAAACATGTCTTGATACTCTGCTTATTTCAGCGAAGGCCAGTTTACATAAGCTGAATAAAGAACAACAAAGCAAAGGAATATGCTACACTTTAAGGATTGTATTGTTTATTCATAACATAATGAGACAAGGCTAACAAGCTTTAAAACATAAACATACATAATAAAACCGTATGTGTACGCATGAAGTAACTAGTATTTTCTAAATTTCTCATCTGTATTAATTATTTTCATCTACCTTTAAAGTTTCATTCGCAAATGTCAGAATTAAGAATGACCGTCCATGATAAAATGTTTATAGACAAACACCTCTATTCTATAAGCGTGAGGTTGTAAATACAGTACTCTATACACACCACTATGTCTGGTGTCTCTTCATATAGGCCTACTATATTTCACTGTTCATAGCTCAGTTTCTGACGGATATTCCCCATGTAATCAGTGTAAAGGTAAGTGACCCTTTAAGTTGTTTACACTATAAGCATTGCGACAGCATGTATACCCTGAATGCACCAGTATCCCCACTCAACCTTCTGGTATTTCATGTGCATGGTCGGTGTTGGTACAGCTGGTAAGAAGATACCAGAGGGAGGGGGTACACCGAGCAGGTTAATGTCGTCTAGAGTTCATTATCGTCTGCGGAGTAGCAAGTCCCTTGAGGCCGGCTCACCTTCTCATGAAATATTGCAGGTCTGTAGGACCCGCCATTTTGCTTCGCTGAAAATGAATTTATGGTACCAAAGATGAGAAAAAAAAACAAAAGCGATTAACCCAAGCGCAGGCGTCCAGGCATCACACCTTAGACCAGTGCATCGACTGCCCGTAAGAATTAAGACCGTTACCACCATCGACAATACATACATGCGTCACTAACGGCCTTTTAGTAGACAGCCAACGAGTAGCTAACGTATCCTATGATCGATGTTTGACACGTCATTTCATGTTTGTCAGACATTATTTTCATAGATGACAGCAGACATAACACATGTGCAAAGCATTGACAATCATTTCCATGCCGTTGATTGCTATACTTATATGCTTTTCTACGAATATGAAATAAAACTTCAGAGCCCCATTTATTCCAAAATGCTTATATTACTGTAACGTCGTGTACTATCAGGCGATTTGTAAATTTTATAAAAAGCAAATTATTAATTGAATATTTCAGGACGTGTATGCCTCTCTTTCAAACTGATTAAGTGACCCAGGCCTCTGGCACTTAAACAGTCGGGGTGGTATTCTGGTAGCGCGTACTAAGTTAGTCCACACTTTTATGGAGTGCCTGTTGTCAACTCATTTATCCTGTACAGATTATTTTAATCCTTCAAAGAAAAGTCTCCAAAAAATTAATTTTGCAATGAAATGGGAAGAAAAAGATAATATGGGTATGAACTGAATTTCCAAAAAGTCTTTGGTAGATTATCTTTGTCATGAATATTGAAGGAGGAAGATGAAACCTAGCATTCCATA